GGACAGCCTAAAAGTTTGGACTTCATATTAGTATTTGGCACTCAGGAAAAGAGATCTTTGGATGACTGAGTACTGTGGAACGATTAGTGTTTACAGTGATCCTAAGGCAAATGAAAGGCTGAAAATGTGAAGGAAAAAGAGATCAAAACAAAGTACACTGATACCACTGAATAAACTTTTAGTGTGGACAGATTTTGAAAATTTGTTCTTGTTCTGGCAATCCTACCCCCTCAAAATATAACTTAGCTTAGCTTGAAAATGTTGACAAAGATGGGCCAATTTCAGCATGAGCAAAAGCCTAAATGGTCTAGAGTGCTTCCAAGTGAGAGAAGACAAAAAGAATGAATGAAGGGGTATCAGAACAGAGATTCGTAAAATCACAGAAGGTGCAGAGGGGCAGATGATTACTCACTGTTCCTCACAATATGACACTTCAATTAAATTATCAAACAGAATTTTTGAAACTGACAGAAGAAAGTACTTTGCACTGCCCGTAATTAAATTGTGGAGCTCATTACGTAGGCTGCTGTGGAGACCAAGAGTATAAATGGGTTCAGGGAAGGACCAGCACATTCCTAGAGTAAAGAGCCATTACAGGCTATTAAGCCCAAAGGTCTGGAAGCAGTCTCCAGCTCAGGAAGTCCTGAGACTACTGATTACTGGAAGCTGGGACTGGAGTATGTCAGGGAAAAGATCATCCAAGTTCTTCCAGTGCTTCTCTAAACACCATGCTACTGGCTATTGTCAGAAAAGAGATATGGGACCAGATAGATTCTTATTATTTTTTTAATTTGTCTAGACATGTTTTCTCTTTTATATAATGTAAAAGATTTGCAAATATTGAATGTTAGAGTGAAATCGAGTCCTTTGCCTTGTGATTAGCTGCACAGGAGAACATTGCATGCCTTGAAAGCAAAATAGGAGCAGCAGGTAGCTGGAGTGCTGTGCAGTCAGCAGATATGCATATGGGACACTGAAATAATGCCAGAGCTGAGCCAGTATGTTTTGTTCACGACTTCCAAAAGCACCAAAATGCAGGAGTGAAAACCACCTCCACCTCTGGCACTTACAAGCACTACCTGGCCTTATGTCGGAATTGTGGTTGACTGACCTGAGAGCTTACAGGCATAGGATTTGTCTACCCTGAATATTTAAGAAAAACAGAGCATTTAAACTTAAACAGTATTGTACAAATGACTGCTTTTCTGGGTAAATATAGAAGTTAACTTCAACTGAGAAAAGACTCCCAGATTCTGCCTCCTGGCAGATGGCCTAGCCATAGGACCTGTGGAAACCAGTCCCCGCATTTTTCTGATTTCTCTACTTTCCAGCTGGAACTCTACTCCTACAATAAATTTTGCCTCTTTGAAAAGGAGGATAATAATGCCAGTATGGAAATGCAACAACACTAACCTCAGTGACAACTAAAGTGCTCAATCTGTTAATCCTGTGAAGACCTAACATACTCTTTATTTTGTAATTATTATTATTATTTTTTTTAAACACTTGGGTGACTACTATTGACTAATTGTATTTTGTGGTCTTTGAGGATTCAGGCATAACTACTCAGTCTAGGCCACTCATTGAACAGTTCTTTTATGCTCAAGGATGAGGAAAAGTTCAATGAAGCCAAATCCTGGGATATAGACTCAAATCTCTCCTAATCAAATATGTATGCTTTGATCTAATAAAGTATGTTATATCTTGCCTGACTTTTTAGCAAAATGAGAATGTAATGATTTTTCTTTCATTTTTTTTTTTTCTTTTCTTTAAATGCAGTTGTTATGACAAGCCTGAATGGCAGATTCCTTTTGGTTTCCAGGACAGCCAACTTCTGTGTTGGAGTTTCCCCAACCAGCTATGGATTTAGTATCAAATATTTTTGTCCTATGTATGTAATGACATACACATGTATGTGCATGTATACTCTTTCACAGTGGTTGTGTGTTGGATTGCTAATTCCATCTACTACAAATTACTGTTACTTGATCTACAAAAGTAATGAAGAAAAATATAGATTATGGTGTGACAAAACATTTCCTTGCTGTTGATTGCAGTGTTTATTTCTTGTTCAGAGTTTACAAGCAGGCTGGTGTGCCCCTCTTAGGAAAATTGTGGACTTAATTGTCTGAAGACCCATGAAGGCACAGATCCACTTTTCCTGGCTGTCTCTCACCAGGTGAATAGGGATTCCTTTCACTTTCATGGGTAAGGCTGCCTGTTGAGGCTGTGCTTTCATTCATGCACTCGGCAGAGTAGAGAGGAAATTACTAGCAAGGCTTACTGAAAGCCTCTCATGTTACTTTTCTATTGGAAAAGTGCCAGGTAGAATAACATGCTAGTTAGGTTAATATGATATAGTCTCTTGGATACTCAGCATCTGCTCTGTTATCAGATTCATTCTATTCTCTCTTTCCCCTATTTTTCCCTCTATCTTCTGCATTACACTTATTAGAAAATCATGTGCTTGCTATTAGTCTAACCTCTTTATTTGTGGGAAAGCCTTCTGTAGTGAACATGGTGTTCTGATGCTGTCTTTTTGTCCCCAGACAAAGTTCTGACAAGAAACTGTGTAGGTGTGGGCATTTCGAGCTTGCCTTCAGGTATAAGCATTATTTCTGACTGGTTTGTGCCATTTTGTGATCCCTGCAATCATTAAGGCTTTTGTGTTGAAACAAACTTGAAAAAAAGCATTGTCATGCCTATGTTTTGTGGGCTTTCCAGCCAAAACCCTAAATCTAACCTGGCATACAAAGGGTTGGCTGACTGTTTGCACATATCTCTGCCAATTATCCCCGTAAAGACTCCCTGACCTCCACTTGCCAGAGAATGTGGGCCATGTGTCAGCTTCTGCTACAGGAAGCTTGCACGTCTCTAATTCTGACTTGAAAGAGTATCCAAGGCTTGATGCTGTGATGTCTGTAGCCATTCATTAGGCATATTTACCTTCTAAGTGTGCTGAATTTGCTTTCCAGCTGGAAGCCTTGTCCTCAGACTGGGTCAGATAAATTTATTCCTGGAATATTCATTGCAATATTGCTTTATTCAATTCATGTCGTGGATTGATGCAGCCTTACTGGCTGTATTGTTTGGCAAGTGATAGGCTGTAAGCAGAGTTTGGTGAACATGTTGTTTTTCATCGATAAAGATTAATTGCAAACACCTATTCAGCCACTTTTGCTTGAACGCTTTGCACAAATTGGAAGCTACCTTCTCTATTATGAGGGCAGGACTAAGTAACCATTGGATGGATTTATCACTGTCAGTGATGCAAGGTGGAAAACGTGATACAGCTCCACTTTCACCAAAACAAATGGTCATGTTATAAATATGGTTAGAAACAAGAATGTACTGTTGTGTTTAGTAATAAACAATAATCAAATTGGTAGCAAATCAACATGGAAGGAGGCTGCCAAATATTGGACACTTTGCAGGAAAAATGTCAATTTTGAAAATATACTTTTGTAGTTTCTTGTATTTCTTTAAGGCTTTCGTCTCGTCCTTGAGAAGACCTGTTAGATTATATTCTGCTAAAATACCTGGCTGAAATTGTGGCTAAATTGCTCAGTTTTGATACATTGCCAAGAAGCAAAAGTCTTTTCATTGGTCACTTTTCTTCTAACGGGCTTTATTAAAATGTAAAATATCTTGGAAAAATCTTTTAATGTCAATGTCTTGCTTGTTTTAAGTGGAAAGGGGCACTGGATGATCAAAGGCTGTTGAAGTGCTCAGTTGTTTGTGCTACCCACAGAAAAGAGAATTTAAGACATTCTAATTCAGCCCACTCCATTTTTCTGGACATATATTATGAGCAATGAGGCTTCCAAGCTCCTTTACTGTGGATATGTATTGCACCGTCTATTTTCAGGACAACGAAATGATTTATTTAGCATATAGCTGACCTGGATTGTCATTACTGGCTCAATTGACCTTTATTGCCATGAGACAGTGGTAAGATTGGAAGATGCTATAAATAGCTGTTGTGCTGTGGGAGTGGTATCACAAAAATGTACTTTATACAGACTGTCATTTCACTATGTGGGCGTTGAGTGCATAGGGCATACAAAAAGGGATCTCTCCTTGATATGTTTTTGTTGTTGTTTGTCTTTTTTTTTTTGTCCTGTTTTGAATTATTGCAGCTGAAGCTATGAGATTGTTTTGGCCACTGTCATCAGGTACAAAAACAGACAGTGCAATAGTACTATGAAATTTTACAAAACCATCTAAGAGAAACTGAGCTGTGTATCGGCAGTAACTTGTGCTTCCATCTAATGACTTGCTATTCAAGGCTGATTTTGTAAGACTGAGTGAGGCTAGGGAAACTGGTTGGTGAAAATGAACTCAATCCTTGTGGAGCTCTAGAACTGCTGGTCAACATCTGTTGTTGCCAAATTTATATAAAGAGTGACTTTGGGCCACAGAGATAGTATTTAAATACTAAGGGGAAAGCAGCTGCAATACCGTATGAGCATGCTGATATTGACAAAAAGGGTGTGTTCTAGTGTCATATTTTATATAATCTGATGCTAAATGGAAGACTTCTCCTAGCCTACAAACCAAGTAAGACCACCATTTTTTTTTAGGGGGGGGGAGGGGGAATAAACTCATATTTCATTCCTCTAGTAAAAGCTATTTGGAACTACACGTTAATTCATTCAGCAGGATCTGCTGGTATGTAAAGAATAAGTGTAATAATTGAGGATTTCACTGAAATTGGCAAACAGATCCACATGCAGCCCACTGGGTTTGATGTTTCACCTTAGCGTCAGTTGAGTAACTGATCTTCATTAAGCAGTAATTTTCAGTGATCACATTACTTCATTTTTTTTCCTAAACTGTTCTAGCAGGAGATGGCACTCAAACACCTTTTAACCCAAACTGAAATTAGATGCTATGCTGCCTCTTCTGACTTCTGGAGAAGAGTGGGGTGGATAATAATATTGGATAATTATATTGATTATAGCCTCAATTTATCTATTTTTTGTCTTTTCAATCTGCAGGAAAGCAATCTCCAGGTCAGGCCTCCAGCACTTGGCTCCTGTGCATTCCCTCAACATTGCAATCTCCAATGGACCTGTGAAGGAACCAAGGGCAGCCTTAGAGTGGACTGTAGGTGTTTGTTTCTATGGCAATGTATCTCTGGCTAGTGCTCCCTCCAACCTTAAAACAACATTAGAAGTTGCATTACTGTCAGAATTAGTGCTGGTCATTAGAAACACGCTTCCATTATGAAATCAAGCAGAAGGCAGAGACATGATAATGTACAATGACTTGAGCAGCACTGGACAGAGCTATTTAGACTTTCCAGTCTTGGAAACTGTCTGGCTACATTTGCTCACTGCCTTCTTGACAAGGACTGCTATCCAATGGTGATTCAATTTTAATGTGGCAGGATTTTGTAGTTTTGATTTATGAGCCAAAATGTAAGGCTGAGCATTCAAGCTGGGTTAGCAGGGTCTGTAGGAGCAGTAGTAGAAATCCTTGGTCACAATGCTTTGCAAACATGGATGAACTTCTGGTCTAAGCTAGACTGTAGATACAAAACATCAGTTTCTTTCCCCAGTCTTGCTTCTCCTAATTCTGTTTCTGGACCAGTTCAGAAGGGGCAGGTTATGCACCGTCTGCACCATCTAATGTGGTTATGTGTTAGTGCACATCAATAAATTGATCCTTAAGCCAGCAAGTGAAAAAAAAAAGTCTCATTTAAAGCAAAATATGCAGTGGATTTTACACTGGGCTCTCAGTAAGGAGCTGGCATTAAGCAGCATCCATCTGTCCTTTGGATAAAGACAACTTCTGTTTTTTGATGAGTATGGCTTATGGTTCATCTCAGATGGTTTTATACCAAGACTGAATGGCTTTCTAGATGGTGTGCAGCTGTAACATTTGAAGTTTAATGGAATAAAATTTTACAGGCTGCAATGCAAGAAATGAGTTTGGATTCAGTCTGATTTTCTACTGTATAGTAAATAGGAGTGTGCTAGAATGAGTTTGAAAGAGCACATATAAGAGCTTGTGTTTATATGCTTGATCTTTATGTGCAGGAAATTTGGGTCCTGATTCAGCAAGGTGCTAAAACATGTGCCTGCTTTTAGTGATCTAAGCTTTCTGAATGATCCTCCAGATTTCGATTTCTTCAAAGTGCAGCAAAGTTAAATATCTTTCAAAATTGTAATTAAAAAAACAACCAAACAAAAACAAACAAGCTTACAAAAACTCATGAAATCCCACAAGTTATCCTTCTTAAAAGTGGCATTCTTTGCTACTGATTGCAGAGGTGAAGCAACACTGTGTCATATAGGGGAGGGGGCAGGATGTGAGTGGAAGACATCTGAGGTTGGGAGGAACCAGGACTGACCAGCTGTAATAACTGATGAGTGCAGGGGAGAATAGGATTTCTGCAGATTAGAGATGCAGTACGAGTAAAAGAGAAGTGGTTTGGAGGTTTGAAGAAGATAAAATGGATCAAAGTTTATGATGGGTAATGAATATCAATTAAAAAAAAATACACTTGTAAGTTTTAAAAACTGATATTTCTTTCCAGGTGTATATTTGGTAGAATGAATGGCTTCTTACATTAAGATGTATAAGAGCCAGAGAGGAAGTCTTTGTAGTGAGTCAACAGAAGGTAGATTTAATCAAGACATGTTGCATCCCCATCTGTGCAATCCTTTAGTATTTCCACGATGGTTCTCCAAGGACCCATGATGGGAGACCTTTCCAAAGTCTGATGAAATTTCCAAAGTTCCAATGAAGAGAAGTTTTCACTTGAATTTACAGTAAGAAAAGCAGTAGAAATCTGTTCTTGTTGCCTTCACAGTAATAACTGGAAAGAATTTCCTGGCTATGTTCTCCATTTTTGGTAACTCTTTGCAGATGATTTGCCATTATCAGATGGCCTTGTGAACAGGACACTGATTCAGGGAGTGGGATTTCTGTTTCTTGCTTTGCCACTGACCTTGTAAGTGAGCTCAGATTAATTGCTTTGCCTTTCAGTACATCAGCCTATTTAGCTGCAGAATTGAGGTGATAATTCTGATGTTTTTAAGACCCTTCACATTAGAAAATACATATTTTAATGTTGAGATAACTGTCTATCATCCCTGATGCTTATTTTCTCTTACTTGCAAATACTCAATTTCATCATATTTTTTACCTCTAATTCTAGTTAACTTGTAGTTAATTTAGTAATATTTATTCACAGCAGAATCATACAGAATATATTTTCAGGAGTAAGTGATGCTATAGCTACAGTGAAATGCAGAAGTTGTCCTTCCAAAAGGAACTACCTTGAATGTCAGTCCCTGTGACATATTTGTTATTCTTAACCTCTTTTCTCACCCTCCACCAATTTAAGCAACACTCCTACATGTTAAATGATGAAATAAGCAACTCTAGCCCAGATCCTCAAATAAGCACAGGCCAAGGCACCTCATATAGTGCATGTGTACCTCTGAGGATCTTGATCTGTCTTTATTTTCATACTGCCACATTTTCCCAAGGAAACAACCATAATTTTTTTAAAAAATTTTATTATTATTATTATTTTTTTTTTTTGGTGCAAAGTCATCCTGTATTTCTCTTTTGCATATTGCCTTTTACCTTTTGGTACTTACAAAATTCTTGACAGCCACTAGGAAATTAGTGTGTTGAGCTTCCTACTGGCCAAAGCTGTCTCATTATTTTTTTTGTTCTTTTCCACCATTTATTTGATGATGCCAGTCTCTTGCTTTCTCATCAGTAGGTGTTTGTGGCCTGTGACCATGCAGTCTTAGAGCCCTAGATTAGTCCCTTAGATGATGTCTGAAAACATGCAGCTTTCATTCATGGTATTCAGTGAAAAAAACTTGGGACTGTTCTTTAAGTACTGTTAAAGCACAGCCGAGTTATCTAGATGCAAGATGAGTGTTCTTCAGAGGAGAAATATTGTAATTTTGGACAAAAAATTGTACATGTTAAAAAAAACACTGAAACTTTTAGGCCTTAAGAAGTGAAGCAAACAAACATCAAAGCTTTGTGATAGTAGAAGTTCAAAATTATAGCATTTAGTAATACGTGATAACTTATAAAATTAATTGGTTGAGAGTATCTGTTACAGAGAGAGTGGTGAGGTGCTGGAACAGGCCACCCAGGGAGGTTGTGGATGCTATGTCCTTGTAGGTGTTCAAGACCAGGTTGAATGGGGCCCTGGGCAGCCTGGTCTAGTACCAGATCTGGAAGTTGGTGGCCCTGCCTGTGGCAGGGAGGTTGGAAATTGATCATCCTTGGGATCCCTTCTAACCCAAAACATTCTATGATTCTATTAAGTTGCATGGGGCATTTTAACAGAAAAAACATTTGTTCTTTCCACTAAATAGTAGAAGCTTTCAGGCTGAGACCTCTATGGGATCACAGAGACATGGTGTAATACCACATGCAGCTGGAGTGTTACAATGCACAGAGGAAGACATTTTAGGGAAGGTGAAGCCAGGATATTGAGTAGGGGAAGTTTTCCTTCAATGTAAGAGCAGCAAGCATGCTTGAAGCTCTGCTGTGGAATGGATGATAAGACTGTGAAGAGTTTATGGGGCAAACTAACACAGGTGATGTTGTGGTTGCCTGCTACATGTTATTTAGGAAGTAGATGATATGAGATCTTCAGACAACTGGAGAAGCCTCATACATGAGGACTCTGGCCTTCAAATGTGACTTAAACCAGTTTGATGTTTACTGTAAGAGCAGCACGAGCAATCCAGGAGGTTTCTGTAATACACTGATGGTAACTGTGACACAAGTGACTGAGGAGCTTGATGAAGGAAGGTGCTCTTCTGGACTTTGTATTACAAACAAAAATGAACTTATAGGAACTGTGAAAGTCACTGGCAGCCTTGCCTACTGTGACTGTGAGATGGTGAAGTTCAGGATCCTGAGAAGAGGAAACAAAGCAGATGGCAGGATTACAATCCTGGACTTCAGTGAATAGACATTGCTTTCTTCAAGGATCTGTTTGAAAGTAAAATGTTCATGACTGAACAGAAGCTCCACGCATACTTCTAAAAATTCTGAAATTTTGTGTTTGGATGACTTCTGAACACTGTGTTCAGGCTCTGTAATTCTACATTGCCACTTTTTTTTTAATGAGTGTTGGAGAACTAATGATCTTTCCTGAGAGAACTAAAGAGAAAAAAGGAGGGCTGTCATATTCATAAAGTGTCCATTTGTATGTTTTCAGGGGTATAGAGGTTTCGATGATATTACAGAAAGTGCTCTTAAAATATTTTTTCAATTGCTCCCAAAAGGACTGAAGTTAAGCTGTTGTCAGCCAAGAAAATGTTTCATGACAGTGTAGGGAATCATCATCTCAGCTGATAGCATCTAGATGTTGCTTATCCATGAAGACGAAAATTGTTGTTCTGTTTCAATGTACAGATGAGTAGAGGATATATGGGTGGGCAATGGATGCAGGGATGTGGGAAACCCTGATGGGGGTGTAGAAATGAGAATGCCAGAAAACAACTAGAGAATGTAACAAACCTAGGTCTAAAAGTTGTACCTTCCTCTCTCTCTTTTTTTTAAAAAATTAATTATGCAGGATTGTGTTTCTGTGATCTTTTTTGTTTTGCGTCCATTACGCTCATAATAATTAAAGAAAAGATGATTTTTGTGTGAAGAATTTTCTCACAGTATGCAAATTTGTAGTTAAATTCATATAGATATACAATCAAAACAATGTTGAGGATATTATTTATAACATGAACATTACAGACTGGAATTTCAGAGTTCAGGGTAAAATATAAGTAAAATATATGCGACAGGCTTTCAGGGAAAAGACATTCAAACAAACTTGTTTCTGCTCAGCAGTGACCTTGAAAAAGAAAGGGCTAAAGCTAATCATTTTTGCTTACAAACATGTTTAATTAAATTTGTGTTGATGAACACTAATTATATATTAATCATAACTTTATCACCCAAATGTGTACTTATAAGAAGACTCATCTCTCTCACTGTAGTGTTAACAAAGGGAAAAAAAAAAAACCTTCCTAATAGTTCAATTTAGAAATCTAATGGATTTTTTTTTTTTTTTTTTTTTTTTCAAAATGCTAGTTATGACAGGAGCGGATCAGAGCTCC